CCCCAAAACCCCAAAACCCCAAAACCCCAAAACCCCAATAGAGAGTAAGTTTAATATATTTGGGAAATATTAATTAATTATTTCGCATTTATTTAGAAATGATACGTAAAATAAAACCCTCTGAAGGTAATCTATTTTCTCTTTGTATTTATTTAAAATAGCATCAAAACCATAAGCAAGCTAGAATGTTAAATTTCAGCCACTTAAGACTCAGTTAAAGTCACCATAAACAACAAAGTAACCATAACTTAATTAGATAATATTATATTATAGGAGTAAAAAAATAAACTAATCATTTAATGATTCCAAGCAAAATGTCAATTAGAGAGCTCATTCTCCTCCAAATAACAATATCAACAGCAACTAGCCTGTTCTAGACTTGAAGCAATAGATTTCTCAGCAAGTCAATAGAAATATGGGCTAATCTCCAGTTTAATATGAGACAAGGACGAAGCGATTCTCTGAATACTGTGAGTAGGTCAATGAACTTATCAAGAAGAGTGTTACATCTGTAGCCTAAATAATTGATAGAGATCATACACCGAATGGTACTCGAAGAATGAATCAGCACAGAAAGAGTAAAAGTAGAGCAGATATTAACGAAGAATCAAATTAAACTAACAAAAATAATTATGATGATTAAGAGCAAGCTTCATTATTAAAGACTTCTTTGCTGGCTAATATTAACAAGAAGTAAATTGGAAATAGAGTCGAACTTCAATAGATATCTAGGATGTACAATGAGAGTTCCCCTTTAAAAGAGGCTGGCTCCTTAACTTAAATTTCCTTTGATTCTGATTAGTAACCTAGGGAGAATAGCATATCTTTGATCAACAACATGTCTACACCCAGGAAAGAGGGCTTAATGTCAAATAATTATAGTAGTTAAAATAAAAAGCAAAAGATTAGTCCTCAATCGATACTCTAGAATTAATCGGATCAAGAGATTTCCAATTTGGAATAACCATAGACAATGCTGACTGTACCCAAAGGCATAGAAAGTGCAAATACTACTCCAACTCAGTAAAATAAGAGTAACAGTAAAACCTTCGGATTGTGGAACATTAATGCAAAGCTCATCAATAAGTAATATCAAGATCCTGTCCCATTAATCGCATTACAAGAGAAGCAATCTTCTTTACAGTAACTAAATAAAAAAAAGCAAAACTACTAGAGAAATATAGATAAAATCATAAAAATTTAGAGATTTTACAAAAGAATAATTAAAAATAGGGCGAAAAGAATTTGTAAATTGCAGGAGTTACTCCAAGCTATCATTAAGGGTTAGAAAGTAAGATAGATTATGAAAAAGGAGGATGTGAATCGGCTAAGAAATGAACTGAGAGATCTAGAGAAGTTACAAAAGCATAATAATGCTAGCTAGAAAAATACTTATGCAACAAGAGTTTACAAGGAAAAGAAATAGCTTTTTGTAGTACTTGTCAATGAGAAGATTAATGGCACCTCATCACCCTTAAGAAGAAAGACCAGTTTATTTAGGAAAACCTATGTGCCGGTTGACACAGAAATTATAGGGGACAAGGACTCTTAGAAAAGCTTAGAAGACTTAGACTTTGATAATATTAATGAGGACTTCAATAAGGTCATTTTAGTTAAAAGCATTGAAAAGAATGGAATGAATTATAACACTGAGAAAGCTACGAAGGCCAAGAAAAATGCTTTGCCAGTCTATCCCAAGAAACTTGACTTGCACTAGTTTGATTTGAAGATGGTAGACCCCCTTGATGAGCATTACGAGATCACAGATGAGAATGATACGCAGAGATCTATACCGATAGTTTCATCGCTTAGCTAATAAAATTAAATCAAGATAAAGGAGGAATAATGGGAGGATTAGATGTTAACCAGGCTTAAAAGTAAGTCAACATATGAGCCTATTGATGAAGAACTAATCAACACTAATGTAAACAAAGCTAGAAGCAATATCAGAGCATAAAGTCCTAATAATATCAATTAAGCTCCATCATTAGTGAATAGGTGCAAAGACAAGTATCAAAATATCAAGCACAAAAATTTCCTAAAGAAGAGAACTGGGCATGAGTATGACCCGCTAAAAGCAGCAAACAGTGATGAAAAGTAAGTATCAACTTAAGGTTTAACAAAAAATCCTATAGAATAAGACCTAATAGTTAGACTCGGTTGATAAGACCAAAGTCTTAACAAAAAGAGCCAAATTCTAGGAACAAAAATCCAGAAAAGGGGGCAGCTTTAAATCACAATAATCTTGAGAAATTTCAATCTATTAACATCTCTAAAATAGATTAATCTAAGCAGCTTAGCTCTATTAACAAACCTTTAGTAAACTAGCAAGCCCAAAAAGTATAGTAAAAATAGTAAACTCAAGAAATTTCAAATTTATAGCATACTAAACTTTTAAAATAAGAAGGAGACGAAATATTTAAAAATTCAATAACAGACCCAAAAACAACAGAATCTACAAATTAATTTTCTCCTATCAAGAAAAGCTAATAGCCTAAACGGAAAAGTAATGAGTTTATGATGAAGACTTAACAGTTAAGTCCGCAGAAGGCTTAACCTTAAGCTCACAATAGTAACTAAAAGCTCGTCTTTAATTTGAATTTGGAATAATTAAAACCTAAATAACAGAGCGGAGGAGATAGAGAGATACCGGTTATTAAGAAATAGCAATCATCCAATACTCATGAAGAGTATAAAACCATGAGTAAACCGCAGTTGCAGCATACTCAATCAGTCAATACAAGTGGATACGTCGACTTGGCTTTAAATGATAGCTAAGCAGCTGGTTTAGGAGTAAGTGTGACTGAGTTGCCAGAAATAGTGAAAGAAAAATTTGAACGACTGAAGGATCTGTTCTTGAAGACACAAAATCAAGAGACAATAGTTACAAAAGACTAGGTTCAGCTCTAGAATAAATTTGAAGTAAGTTTGATAAATGAATTATGTGTAAATGTTAATATAAGTAATAAATCTCACATGATTGAGAGTATAATAAATCCGCAAGAAATATATATATTTAACGGACTTTTAGAGGATTATTGACGAACTCACAAGAGATTTCAAGATTTGTCTCAAGAAAAAACAAGGGAGATGAAAGGAAAATGATGAGTTTGAACTTATATTGAATTTAGGATTGTAATTATAAAGAGAGGATTTTCTAAATTATTATAAAATACAAATATATGATGGCCATAGCAAATAGTTAATTTTGAGTTAGGGAGAAGTGAGATGCTGCCGGGTTCAGTTTCTGCCGATAACTTTCTTGAGGTGAGCCATCTGCTCCTTCTCGTTGTAGTAGGGCAACTGGTAGAAAACTTCATCCCCATTCTTGGGTTGGAGGTCTCTGTGGTCGTGGAATCTCTCTCCTCTGATTCTTCTGGCGAGCTCCATGTCCTTCTTCATGACAGTCACTCTGTTGGCGTGAATGGCGCACAAGTTGGAGTCTTCGAAAAGTCCGACCAAGTACATCTCAGCAGCTTCTTGGACGGCGAGGAGGGCTTGTGACTAGAATCTGAGTTGGGCGTCGATTCCTTCGCAGATGGCTCTGACGAATCTCTGGAAGGGAGCCTTGAGGAGGAGGAGGTTGGTGACCTTCTAGTATCTCTTGATCTCTCTGAGAGCGACGGTACCTGGCTTGAATCTTCTGTTGTGGGTCTTGATACCTCCCTCAGCTGGAGCAGTCTTCTTTTTCATGGTTGACTTGCTGGCCTTGGAGCCTGAGGCAACACTCTTCTTGGTTGAGGACTTCATCTTCTTACCGGCGAGCTTTTGTCTGGGCATTCTTGAGAGTTTGTTTAAAAATTTGAATTTGAAAATTAATTATTAATTCTGCTATTTATATTCCAACAACTGAATTTTTGTTAAATATTTGTACAATGGGGTTTTGGGGTTTTGG